GAAAGAGGGAGAGTTTTCCTCAATTTCAATGAGTACACAGGGTGGAGCATTGAGAAGATCAAGCACTGCATCTTTTCATGACTTCTTAATTTCTTTTTTTTCAGCTAGACAGCTTCTTATTTTGGCATCACAAATCAGAGACACATGAAGAGACTTAAGACCCTGGCCACAGGTCACATTAGAGCAGTTTCTAAATGTGTAACCTGAATCTAGCAGTAGATAAACACTGGTGGCCAGGATATTAAGTTATTTTAAGGATGCTATAGCTATTTTTCTCTTAACTAGTCCTTCAGTCAGATGTATTTAGCAATCTCAATGTCTTTTTCTTCCTAGAACTTGTCCCATCTCCTTCTGCATCCATACACTCTTAACAAGCACAAAATTCTTCAATTAGGACTTCACCATCCCAGATATCAGCAGATCAAATATTCTTCTGCGAAGGACAATTCCCTTTCTGCTTCTTGTAAATGTGGCTCCTCTAGCATATTTTCCTACCCCTAACTACTTGCCCAGAAATTGTGAGTAACTGCTATACTATTTCTCACAATGGGCAGCCTGCACTTCTTTTGTGCCGAGAAGTCAGCTAATAAATAGGGCAGATCTTTAGACTATTATTTGCAGAAGTTTCCCAAGGGTCCAGCCCTACGACCATGGCAGTGATAATTAGAGAAATTTAACTTCTCATAACCTCTTGCAATTAAAACCAGTAATCGTTTCAGAGAGCAAATAAAAGATCCCCTATCATTTCAACACACTCAATGATCTAGAGGAGAAAAAAACCCCAAAAAAACCCCCAAACCCCCCCAAAATCACAACAAAAAACCCCACAACATTCCATCAGGGACAGAAGAAACCCCAGAGAAAAGATAAATAGCCTGTTCAAATACATAAGGCTACCACATAGAGAGGTTAAGTATCAGGCAATATAAAAATGAAATTCTGAAGGCAAGTTCCAGTTCAAAGTGACAGGCTGCCTTGTTATCTTGAGATGTTTTCTCAAGGGGACTTATTGCAAGTCTGACAACTGCAAATGAGTTACAGAAAAGAACAGGTGAAATTATAATCATAGCCACCACCCAAGAGTATGACACATAGTACAGTACTCTGTTATTGACAACCTGTAGTTTCTTCCTCTGACTTTAAATGCAGTTGATTTAGGACCATTATTTATATGGATGACAAACTACTTCATAAGAGGAAATCTATACATCCAAAGCTAATGTATCATTCTTCTGCTTGTATGAATGATGTCAACAGCAAAAAAACCCAAACTTGATGGGTATGAAAACCTTCAAGTTTGGCTCACCGACTGTGTCAATGTTCACAAAGGCACAGAGAATGAAACAGGGACTGATTGTTGAAGTCTGCCTCCATTTTGGAGACAAAGAACTAATGTATCTGAGCATTAATGGTTTTGTAATCCCAAACCAGCCAGTTTGTCCTCAAGTATCTCTTGTTAGTAGACAAAGGCATTTTGGGGACTAACAAAACAAAACCATCTCTGGTGATCTCCAGCTTGAAGGGAGGAAACACAAGCACATAACACATCGTTGGAAGAAGCAGAAAGTCCCTGCTGTATTTAATTATTCTTCTGTGCTTTTCCTTTCATCGTATTTCCACTCCAGACAACTTTCAAAAGCACAAAGACGTGAAGCAGAGAAGCTTGCAGCTCCCTGGGGATATGGATTGTTGCTTGAAAACCTCAATGAACTTTGAGTAAAAGCATTTAGTTCTGAGGAAGTCTGGCAGGCAAAAGACTGCATTAAGCAAGAATGAGTTATTTTAATTTGAGTAAGTAAATTGCTAAGGAGTGGAGAGGAGCAGGAAGATGGGAGACAGAGATCAGTCTATGAAAGCTGGAAGTACCTGAGAGTTGCTAGAGGAGATAAATAGCTGTGATGGAAAGGATGTTGGAAAACAACAGACTCACAGGGGCTTTTTCCTATAGAAGGATGTTCATTTAAGATTATGAGGCGCTGTGAGCATGGCAAACTTGCCATGCACTTGGCACACACAAATGTCATAGACACAGCACATAGCAGCTCATAAATCTTTCAAAATGCAGTACAGCAGCCAGTCTTTGAAAATTATTGCATTAAAATCATCACTTCTGTGAGGGAGACTGAAGGATGGCAGCACATCCCCTCTACCTTAAATTGACAAAAGCAGCAGGATTCCTAGACCTTCGATCTAGCATTGGTTGAATCAAGTATTGTGAAAACATAGTTTCATTGCTTGGGGCCATGTCATACGCAGACAATATCCTTCAGAGAAAAAGTGCATTACAAAGTTTTTCTTTTCCCCTTTAGGAAGGCCTTCCTATACCCAGCTAGCAAAGCAACTAGCTATTTAATAACCCAAGAAGCATATCAAGGGTCTTTCCTCCCCTTAGAAAGTAAGCTGAGGGGAAGAGTAATTTAACACAGTTCATAAGATTTGGGCCTTAGAGTCTTGAGTCAGAGCAATCAAACGAGGTTATTAAAGCAAAGTCTCTCAGTCCCAGGCTAGGGGAGCATCCTGGAGGTGGTCTTGACTGCCAGCAACATGATGCAGGACTTCTCACTCATCATCTTTCTATTTCTCTGTGTATTCAGCCTTGTCCTAACACAGAAAGTGAGGAAAGGAAGGACCTTGCGGTCTCCTGGCTTGCTCTGTTTTAGCTTTGGTCTGTTTATATGCATTAATGCAAACTAGAAGATGCCATGAGAGCCAGAAGCAGTTTCACCTCCATGTTCTCCAAAGACACAGTATTAGCCAAAAGGCAGATATCAAAGCATGGTGCAGGAGTGAGGTGCAAGCTAAACAAAGAGCTGAATTATTTACAATTTGTCAAGGCCACATGGGAGAGTACTGTTCCCTCTTCTTAAGAAATAAAATGTTTCTTATTTTCCTCATGATATACTTAAATACATGTGTAATTTTGGATATTAGGTGTGAAGTTACATTTATGTTCTATGTTAGCAGGCTGGATAAACCATAGTTCCTTTTGCTTTACCTCTACCATCCTACAGTTAGAGACACTAGTCTCAGACACTAGTCTCAGGTCAATGGTTCTCAGAACTACCAACACACTGAATTTAAGGGGCAGCACATAGGAAAATATTTCCAATAACAAAACAAACATTTATTCTTCTCTATAATACCAACTCAAATAGCAAAATAAAATTTTGCTGCTACTATGTTTCACAACAGTGATGGGGAATGGTTTAGAAAATAAGATTTTATCTCAGTTAATCAGAAAAAAAAAAGTCTCTGTGACTTCTATCATGTCATCAAAAAGACACAATTTATCCTCGGAAAAGGAATTTAAAAGTTTACCCAAAGAAATTCTAATACACCTGGAAAGTCAGAGAAAAATATTAATGTCCACACGTGTCTTTCAGTAACTCTCACCACAGCAGTCAGCGCTGGCTGGTATTAGCCTCAGCAGTATCATTTTAACAAGCTAATTATGCCCAAAGCTATCTACATCTGAACTCCATTCATTCAGTGCAGGCAGCGCACCAACAGCATGGAAGTAAAGAGTGAAAGTGTACATTATTGTCTCTTACCACAGTATAGATCTGAGGTTTGCGCCTTTTTGCCAGGTCAATTATATTGACTCCGTTGTAATAAAGGTTCTCAATGCATCCGTGGAAATTTTTCCTCTGAAAGGTTCCTGGTTTCCCTGGGACAGGAATCCCTCCGAAACTGAGCTTTTGGAAAGAATCAAAACAGTAATTAGTTATCACCCCAAAATCAAGAGGGCAGAGCTCCACTCCATACAGCCAGCCGGGTTATTATCTAAGAACCAAGTCACATCAACAGCATCATCTTGGAGCACAAGTCAGGGCCTGGCTGCCCAACAGGAGAACGATAGCATCACAGCTGTTGGAGAAACTCAGCTGTTGCAGACAGCTCACTAATTTGGAAAAAACTTTTAAGTGCCCTGACATACCACTTCACCAACCTGATTCCACCAGCTCCCTACCCAGCATGCATACAGTGATGCTCAGTGTTCAGTCCACAGACCCCACTAGCCTAGAGGCTGCCACCCAGCAGGAGACCACAGCAGCCAGGAATGGCCAAGCAATAGGAGAATAAACTCTTCCTGCCCAAGGAACACCGGGTTTGCCTGCAAGCTGTAGTCACCCCTTTCCACCAAGCACATATCTGACCAGTTCTGGTTTCAGCCAGTGGAGGGTAGTATCACACACACAAACGGCCCCATTTGCACCTTACAACCGTTTTCCCTAAATTTCACTGTGGTTTGGTCTTAACAACACTTGCACACAGTATTTAGGACTGTGCAGTGTAATGGAGAAGTTCTGCAAGTTACACATTTAAACAAAACTCCTGCTGTGCTGTTGTTTAAATACTGAAAGACGATAGTATTGTGTAATTACAATTCATCACTTATCTGGAGTGTTGAAGGCCCTGGGAGGACAAAAAGCCTAAGAAAATAAAGCTTCCAAAATCCTTGGAGCACAATTACTTTAGATTCCTAAAGGAAAAAACAAACAAACCCCCAAATCAAATCCCACAACTCAAAAGACTTCAGACAACCCTATTTTCATTTTTCAGATGAAAAAGTTAATTTCTAGTTAGCTTCACTGGCCTTTTTTTGGTGAAGTCTTACTACTAGGTTTTTATTAATTTTTCCAAGCACAGCCAGCAGCATTATGAGTGATATAATGCAGGTGAGGATCCTGCAGCCACCACGCTTTCCAGAGCTTTTAGCGCATAGGGAGCTGTGCTGCAATCCTGCTGCATCCACTGCAGCAAGGGTATACACTGCTGCGCGACACCGCTGATGGCTGTGGGAACCTAGTCAGCCTTATTCCTCTGCCATGACTCCTAAGGGTGCGCACCAGCTCGTTATTACAAAAATAAAGGGAAATTTGGGGGCTATTCTTCCTCCCACTCTACCTAACAAGCTGGGATACATAAGCAAATAAAACCTCCCTGAATAATCTTGAAAGCACTTCTCTGAAAATAAGTCCTTAATGAACTTGCACCTCAGTTGTATTAATTGATCACTTCAGAGAAATAAAGAGTGAACAGACTGCTACTTTACATCACTTGCAGGTTTGTTATTGGCATGAGTGTTTATGTGGTAGCAATATTTTTTCCAGTGAGAATCGTTACTTCTTCCATAGAAGGACAGACTTTCCTTCTTTCGTGTTCAGTTCTTTACATCTCCTGCTTAGGGACTCTGTACTGGGTTTCAAAACCAGAAGAAAAATCAATATCAATTATAACATTGCATTATTAAGAAAATGGTTTCCTTTGTGATTGTTAATAATTTTAATTACCAAACTAATGGTTTTATTACCCTCAGTAAGGCCTTTAATCCCCGAAGTCTGCTGAGATAAACTTTCAGTAGACTGTGTTGCTGTAACGTTTTACTGAAAGATTGTCATGGTGCAAACGGAAAAAAAAAACATATTGTGTGAAAAACTAAGTACTGGGGCCAGGAGGGAGTGCCACAGAGGTCAGTCGTCATGCTGATTTACACCAGCTGAAGATTTCCCCTACCATGTTCCCTGTTTTACAACATCTGGAAGAATGTTCTGCAAATTACATTGGAGCCTGAGTTTTCCCTAACTTGCATCAACCCTGTAGCAGGAAACAAGGAATTTTATTACTTTGAAATTAGGAAAGCTGATGAGTCAACTGTCTGGCTTTTCTCAACTTCATCTTAAAAGCAGTTACAGCTTTGGTCATTGCTACTTCAGCCTGAAGCTGTTCCAGAATCTCAATGATCAAATGTGCTGTCCCCACTAAATACACTTGGGATTTGGTACAGCAGTGCCAGGGGACAGGTACCACTTTCTCCACCTTTCTTTGTGAAATGCAAAGAAGGGAATTTCATCTGGAACATGAGAGGAGCAGAGAGCAGGCACCTGCCACTGCCCAGACGTCTGCTTTTGTCCCTTGCACGTGCTGGGAATTGATCCTTTCCATAGAAGTGCAGAGGGGAAACTTGTGGCTAAGCAATGAACCATGCCAGCTCAACGAATCCAGACAGGGTGATGGCTCTGACTGTGCAAGCATGACCCTGTGCCTTGTGGGCTAGCAAGGCTTGGTAGACAAGCACATGGGGATAAAAATGAACATGGGTAATTTGCACACAGGTGTGCAGTGGTGGAACTGCCTTGCATATAGAGATGATGATATAAAAGTTTTTTTAAGGTATTTTTTACCAGCTATCAGACATAAGCACTGAACTTCTGGAGTGATAAGAACTGCACTCTACCACACTGCTGCCTCATCACAGGAGAGCACACCAGCCTCAATTTTTATGGGCCGGATGTGTCCTCTGCTCAGTCCTTCCTTGGCTGAGCTGCTCTGGTTCCCTAGACCAGGATGCTCTGCATCACAATCTCAGATGTGAAGAGACTAGGGTCAGAGCTAGTTGTCTTGACAGTTGTGCTCAGGGTCTTACACTCCTAGTGGGAAGGCAACGGTCTTTACCTACTCACCTCTATGTGGAGAGCTGTAATCTGAGGTAGAGCTGGTAACCCCATAGTCATGTCAATCAGATACAGAGATGGTGTGCAACAATCCCACTAAATTGATATTGGAGATGACGACACAGCGCCTCTCCCTACAGATAAGCATGGTTGCTCCCTGAAGATTTGACTAGAACCCACACTTTAAATTTTAGTTTAGCTCAAAGTCTGCCATACTTTAAAGTGTAAGCATAATCCAATACATATTTGCCCAAAGACTGGCCATTTTCTCAGACTGTTGTACACAGAGTTGCACTGACATAGTCTATGTTTGTTAACTATGAAAGGAGAAATCTTGGAAGGAAATATTAAATGAAGAAAAGATCTTTGCTGGAAAGAAACAGCTTAGGGGGTGGTTGTTTTCCATCACATTCATTTTATACCAATTCAATCTCATTTCCCGAGTTGTAACCTAAAGGGCTTAACACACCTCGTAATCAATATCCAAGTGATCTGAATCCCCCTTTGTTCGGAAATGCTGCGTGTGCTTGTCCACTGTGAAGTTCACTTGCTTGTTGAAGCGCTCTATGAGAACTGAGTGCCAGTGCTGGTCATCCAGGAGGCTGCCCAGGGTGACAGATGTGTGGCTGTTACTGAAGTGCAGGTTGGAGTCCCCTGGATGGGCAGAAACAGTCAGAAGACACCAGTTACCTCCAGGCACTTAACTAAAGCACGAGGGCTCAAGGGGAGCATGGGCAATGCTCCTAGATGCACACTGGAGCTCTGCCCATCAGAAACATACCCTGGACAAAGCTTGCCTTAGATTCTTTGGGCTTCTTATTCATATATGGACATGCACATGTGCATACACACACACTTTTCCCCCACAGCCCCAAAGTCCTTGCAATAAACCAAGAATTTTTCCAGATGCTGCACACGCGCGCACACACACACACACACGAGGAATTGCCACTTTGCCTGTGCCTTCATTCTGCTGTGCACTCAAGGCCCTGGTGTTTTAAGAGCTCCCTTTGGGTTTGCACCAAAATCTCCTATCTATTCACATTAACAGACCACTCCTGACACTTCAGTTTCAACTATGTGCTTTTTGTATTTTAGCAAGAAAACTGCACCTGTCCATTTTCAGAGGGAAAAAAAAAAGCCACAAGTCAATGAAGTAATATGAATGTGTTTTCCTTCAGCTCAAAAAGATTCTTAAACCTGACCTAGATCTCCAAAAGTTTAGACCAAGAGTCATAAAAATATTTAGGCCCTAACCCTGGTGATTTCAAGCACTCTTCTGTTTTCCAGCTGGCTACATGTCTGAACACTTCAGAGCCTCTTACTGAAAGGGAGTATGTGTCCTTAATTTATACCACAGCAGAATGTAGAGAGCACATGCTCCAGAATTGTTGGGCAACATGCGAGCATTCAAGAGCAGACATCAGAACCTTTGCCCATGACATATGAATGCACACAGAGGATTTGAAATTACTAAAATCTATATATTTGGGATTACTGCTAAAAGAAAAAAAAAACCCTATTATCTCAGACTATGTATTTACAACAGCATGTCCTCTGGAAGAAGCAACATAATATATTTAACTATACTATATTCTTATCCTGGTATGAAGCATTTGGAAGAGGATGACAAATCCATGGCATCAAATAATCCCATATTTAGAGGCTCAGGATGTAGCCACTTGGTCCAAGTAAAATCCAAACAAAAAAATCAGGAAAATGCTGCATTATCATTTCTACTCTTTGAAGAACTAACTAGAAAGAAAGAAAATACTGGCTGGAGACTAAACAATTAATGAGCTTATGTAAAAATTAAATCCAAGAGCTGTGGAAAATTGTTACTGACATTTAAAACAAATACAATTAAGCATGAGGGGGAAAATGCAGAAGGAGTTATGTACAAATTCTGTTTTAGTACCTCCAGTTTGCTCCCACTAGTTTATAATTTCTTTTAACTGCCCAAGACATAAACAGGGGACTGAAGTAGGTATTGCACCATTGCCTGCTTTATCTACTCTAGAAAAACTTCTTAAAGCGTCCTGGAATTGCCACTCTGAGATCTGCCCCTGCTAATACTATACATTAACAGATGGTACATCTCCCATTTTTATTAAAATCAGCCTTGGCAGTCTAAGCACCAGGTACATGAACTGCAAATGACTCAGATTATTTATCAAAGTTATTGAGAGTGGCAGTGAAAACCTTGGACCTTAATTCCCTCCCCTCCTTGCTCACATCCTCATGGTTAACAGAGGGAGGGGTTTTGTTTCAGCTTTCCATCTGGATGGGCCACTGGGGCTTTCAGACCACATTCAAAATCCAGACAGGGTAAGTGCAGCTCCTGTGCTGACCAATATACTGCAATACAGACATGGAAACTTCTGCCCAACTCAAACCCTCAGTATGAGAAACATGAGTCAGCAGGGACTGTTGAAGCTGGTACCATGGGCCACCCACAGATGAAGCTAATGAAGATTTTGCAGTAAGGCTAGAAGAAGGGGTATGATCACTCCTATTACATTAAGCCCTGCCATTATTAAAAAGCTTTAGTGTATTCACCAGAAAAAAGTAAATTTCTTTCTGCAGCAGGATACTAAGTCTTTCATTTGTCCCTCTGATCCAACATGATTACACAGTGATGGCCCTCCAGATTCAGTTTTCCAGAAGCAAAGCAAGACCAGTGTGCACAATGTGTTGATCAAAAAGTTTTCATTTAAATTCTGTATTTTAGATCAGTTCTGATCACAGAATAGAAAAAATGAGACACAAACCAAAAATAAACCTTTTGGCCTCCAAATCAAATTTCTGGGAAATGCTATTCTTAAAATTAATAACAATAAAAGAAGAAGAATAAACAGAACTTTTTTTTAATTTTTTTTATTTTTTTTTTTTAATCAATGCTTTGCTTGTCAAGCAAAGGTCAAAACTTCATAAGTAGTCATTGAAACAGCTCAGCCTTGGTCAGCACTAGTTAGAAGAGCCAAGTTCTCTTCTTGGCTCAGCTATCATGTCCTGCATTACATCAGTCATATCTAGTCTCTTTTGCTTCCCCTCCCACCTTCTCTGACCAGTATTTAAGCTGTGAGCTATCCAAGGCAAACAACACGTTTTGTTGATCTCAGTTGTAAGTTCTAGATACTGCCTAATATAAACAATAGATTTATTAAAGCAAATCAAGACAATCCTTGTTACAGCAATATGTGAACCAACAATCCTAATTACCCTTACCCAGGTTGATGTGCAAGGAGAGCTTCCCTTTCTGTAGTTCCAAAGTAATGTAGTCTCCACGCTGTCCTTCTCCATGGAATAAGACTCCATCCCCCTGCATGCTCTTGAACCTCAATGAAACCACATCTTTGAATGTGCTCATAAGCTTCTGATTGAACCTGTAGAGGAGTGAGCTTCTGCCATCAAAGTCTGCAATATCCGACTCTGGGAGAAAGAAAATGGCAAAATGAGGAGGAGGGGCAGCATCAGGAGAGGGATTGTATTTTTTGTAGGATCTTTTCAAATATCACTTGGAGCCAGGTATTCTCAGTAGCATATATCCACAAGACATATGGGGCATGTAGGCAACCACATTTCACCCATTTCCAACTCTCTCCCTCTGTCTGGGGAAAGGGAACACTAGGATAAAACCAGAACTCCTCTGCACTTGTCCTCTTTTCTCTCATGCAAGAATGCTTCCTCACTCAACTTTTTAAAACAGAACAGGTGTCTTCCATCATCTTCAGATCTCCAGAGCATCCCTCGTCACACTTGTTGTTTGTCTCATAAACACACTCAGGTTGTTATTCATTACTTTGAACACTTCAGTTCTCACTCCACTTTTTGTAGCTTTATAAGCCTCTGTTAAGCTGTTTCTGAGTGTTGGCCATGCCTACATCCACCTTTGCATGTAAATAAGCACCATCTTAGCCTCTGAGGGTTGGCTGCTTGTTTGTGATGGGCATTTATCAACCATGTTGCTGCATGCAAATTGACTAGGCTGGCAGGAAGAGTCAAATACCAATTCAAAAAGCTTTTCAAGGGATTTCAAAGGAACTGGGCATCTACCCTGATTATAAACCTTTGAAAATCCTATTAGAAACATTTTGCCCTTCATCCAGCCTCTAAAATCCAATCACTGTGATAGGAAACAAGCTTTTGATTCTTCAATTGCAATTAATATTTCCTTTGGCAGCAGCAGCCTTCAGTACTCCCTTTGCTTTATAAAGTGATATTTTAAGCAAAGTGAATTTTAATAAACTTTTTCTTTTTTTTTTAATATACATATATGTGTATATATATATATATAACCAGAACCTTATGAGTAGCTTTAAAACACTTTTAACTAATGCATTGTATTCAAACATGTGACTGACATACGTAAATCCCATTCCAATTTCTATCAAAATGCAACATGGCACAAATTCTGGATAAAATATCTACTTGTAAATAATAAATCTGTGAATTGGTTTTCCTATTATTAAAAAAAAAAAAAAATAAGAAGACCAGTCGATGAAGAGTCTGAACAAGGGTTTACTAAGCTATATAACTGCTGGGATACATGCATAAAGACAAAGAATACCTTCATAGTAAATCAGAAGAAACATCATAGAACTTCTTTCTTTGCAAATCACATGTTTTAATGGCACTCCAAAGCTACCAGTTTTCCATCTTCTTTTGAAAAATAAATGGAAGATCCATATGCAAAACAATCAAGACTTCCAGGTCAGCAACTGCATTGTGATTAAATCTTGTGATTTAAGTCACCTAGGCTCCCTTCAGAGTTCTTCTGTCCTTTTAAGTGTTAATGGCAGTTTCATTTGCTCCTCCTTAAGAACAGAAATAATAGGGGTTGCCCCCGCCCCCCCTCCTTTTTTTTTTTTTTTTTTAAACTGGACCAGGTTGTAAAGAGGTTTGCAATTAAAACCTATTATAAGCTTAGAAAATAAAAGACCTTTTAATAAGCTGTTACCATGGAAACTACCATCAACAACTTCTGTAGGTCTTTATGACAGTTTGTACAGAAGTTTGATGGCACATTTACAAACTTGCAGGGAGCTCAAAATTTAAATTTGATGTAAAATTCTCCCACTCCAAAACTGACTCCATTCCAAATCAGAAGGCAACTGATTGTTTCTTATGAGAATAAAACTACAAAGAAATTCAACCCTGGGAAAAATTCACTTCAGAATAAATGAAGACCAACTTCTTATTTATGATGTCAGAATTATAACATGCTATTTAGCATCATATGTGGAACAGTTGCTATCATGAATACAAAAGTATTCATGCCATCTGCTTTTACAGTTTTTTACTTCTGAGTCAGGTGTTCAGAAACAGCACCTTCAGAATTGCTAATTTCTCTCTATTGACATCCTGACTGCCAGTTTCTATAAAGGGAATTAAATTCATAGTTTAGATCCTATGAATTTCCCCTAGCTACATTAAACACTTCAATTTGTTTAAAGTAAATTGCAAGTGTATAATAAAAATAGTTTCATTTTAACATAGGCAGGAATGAGGAAATAGCTTATAAAGAAGTTACAGTCTTTGATTTCCAGTGCATTTTGCAGTTAAAGTTGATTTCTCCTAGCTCTAAAAAACAAAGATACTGTAAGAGTGCGCTGATTCAACGGTGCCGTATTAGTAGCCTTTTTTTCTCCTTCTCAAGATCCAAGCCTTCAACCAGTCTGAATTCACACTTCAGTCCTGGTTCTTAACTCTCCACCATGCCTCAGCATAACACACAATTTCTTGAAGAGCTCTACCCATGACATTTACGGAGTATAACACAAAGGAAAACCTGTTTCTGAAAAGTTCTGCTTCACTAATTATTGGTTGAGAGTACACTGTCCAATAAATAGCCCTCAACAAAATGGGTATATGCCAAATAAATGCTAACACTGGCAGCCAAAAGTCATTACTGGCAGTTTACATGACAAAAAATCGTTGTCTTCCTTTTAAAAAGTGAAAGATACAGCACAATTCTAATACAGTCAACTCCTGAAAACCTGCTTGTTTGCTTAGTATTTATTTAGTCCATGTATGTCTATAATCCACTTGCAGCAAGACCACAAGGACCAGAAACATTGTAAGTCTCAGAAAACCTGTAGATATAACAAAATAAGACACAACATGTGGTTTCTTTCCACAATGTCTGCCTGTTTACTTAATGCTCCCTGAAGACAGATGTTATTCAACCTGGGTACTTTTCTACAGTCCCCATCAACAAGGCTACAAAACTCATCAAAAGTGAGATCAAGGAAAAGACACTTCTTTCATGTTATTCTCCACTGAGAAACAATTCAAACAAATGACTGCTGTAAATATATATGTACTCCTGCCCACAGGTGAAGAAGTTCCCATAAAATAGGAATAATTCATCAAGCTTTTCTGAAATTCAGTAGAGGTTCTGGCCCAAGGGGTGCTGGCTACATCATTCCATTTGAGTTTCCTTTCCCAATACAGATCCAAACATTAAAGTCACTTGAGGGTGGGTGGAAACACAAGTGGTTGAATGGGGATTCCCAGGTTAATTCAGCTTTTTTTTTTCTTTTTTTTTTAAAAAAAAAAAAAAAAAAGAGATCACAGTGCTCAACTTGTGGGACCAGCTATGCTGAGAGAAGCCAGGTTAGGACCAATATGAGATCACGGAGTTTACTTGTGCATCAATCTGCTCCTGGCAGCAGAGTGGACATGCATTCATACTTACAAAGATGGCCCTACTAATGGTTTTGGAAAATGTAAATAACAGGCAAAGTTATTCCAAAATTAAAAAAAATATATATATTCTCTAGGAACAGTTGCAATTTGAGACAGAAACTTTTTGGTCTTAAACTTGCATAAATAAACAGAAGCTTTAATTCCCTGCAGAAGGGAAGAGAACTGTTCCTGGTCTGAACAGATGTCTCTCCTGGCCAGTCATGCATTACTGGCTTGAGTGAGTCTAAAGCAATCTGACTTGCCTCTCCATACCCCTCTCAGACACGCAATCCAAAGGATCAATGTGGATAAGCACCTCCAAGGTGACTGTTTTTCTATGCAGCTTTATCCCTACCACAAATCTATGCCTGCCTCTTGGTAAGCAATCATTTGGGTATTTATCTTATGCAGTTGGTTACAAACACTCCTAGCCAACAGCCATCAGACACTAGGTGGTTCTCTGCTATGTATTCTTTTCATAGAAAGACAAAGGAAAGGTTGGAGGAAGGTGGAGGGAAAAAATAATAAAAAAAAAAAAGAGACATAGGAAAAAAAAGATTCAGTAAAAGTACCATTTAATCAAAATGCACAATTACAGATCATATTCCCTGGAGCAATGACAGCAAAAGATGAGGAACCAGAGTCCTGAACTGCAAATTAAGAACTCGGTTCTCAAAAGCAGAAGATACCCAGACTCACACCCTATCATTGTTTCTCCTGTAGTTTCCCAGCCTGTTAACTGCACATACACCCGATTCTGCTGATGCATTTTGGGCTGTTAACCAGTTATAGAATATGATCAGCATCTTCAATACAGCTATAAATCTTATCCTATAAAAGCAACTGTGTCAGCAGATTTTTTTTTCCCTGCACTAAGCTAACAAGACTTTTCCCAAGTATAAAGATATACCCATTCCCCCTCATCACCCCTAGCATCTAAAACAATTGGTTTGCCATTTGTCTGAACACATCCTTTGTTGCAGCCCTACTTATCTGTTACAATCACTCTGCTTCTGAAGCCACTGCTGCAAAGGGACAGTAAGAGCTTACACATACCTCTGTATGGAAATTTCCATTTAATTCACCATAAATCCTTTTCTGAACAGGAAATATCAATGTAGTCTTTCAGATCAAGATCATCTCATTCCTATTTCACTACCTATTTTGAGGATGGGAGATGGAATCTTTACAGGAAATTCAAATAAATTTAATTCCATTTAAATACATACTTTCTCTGTAAGAAAGTAAATATCAATCAGCATGTCACCTGTAAATTCCAGATTATTTTATGGTCTTGGAGTGCTTTGTTGCACAGGAATGTCAATCTGTATGGGATAGGGTCAAGCATACTTGTGTCTGAAACAGCCTTGTTGTTGAAAACATGTTTTTATGTTCCAAAAAAATGATGTCAACTGGCAGCCAATTAGAGGGTGAAAAGAAAAAGGGGAGGAGAAAGAAGGAGAAAAAAAAAAAATATATATATATACTTTCTTGTTTGATAGAGAAATTTTTATAATAAATTCTTAATAGTAAATTATAGTAAATTACTTCTAGCAGAAGTAACGAACAACAGTGAGTGCCATTCAGCAGCACAGTGCAATCACATTAAGTTAGTCACTTTGGCACCCACTGCACATCGCAGCTAAACTCTAATATGATTCTACAGTATTTTTTGTTACTGTGTCCTGGCAGAGTGTTTGGTGACCTACAAGACTCAATGCCTTCCACATGCCTCCTACTAAACAGTCATCATTGAAAGCTGCATTCGCCAAAAATTTGCACAAGATTGTGTTCCTGGGACCTCTTCAGCAGAGTATGTTGCACAGAAAAGTCACTCTCCAAAAATGGGAGGTCAGAGCCTTGAACTGACACAAGTGTGTCATATTCTCCTCACTCTGCCATCACAAAAAATGCTTAAGCAGCAGCTAAGCCACAAAGCTCTCCTACAGCTGTTATCTTCTCCTCAAATATGCAAGGTTAAAAAGCAGCTGATGTGAGCAGAGACCATCCAAGGAACCACAGGCTATTTTGCATGCCCTGGTGTATCACAGGGAGGTGCTGAGCTCCATGTTTGGCAGTAGTCCCAGGGTTTTAACAGATGTGAAGCAGCAAATGAAATTCAGATGGCCTAAGCTGTCAGTGTCCCCAGACTTTTGTTTCAGCCAAGCGATGAATGCTGCCACTCTCACAAAAAGGACCTCCAACTTGCCAGTTAATGAAGCCTTTACTGAGAGTTTTCTGCCTCAGATATCAATATAAAGCAATGATGTTTCCAGATCAGATACCATGCTTTGGGGGCAGTGTTTGCTTGAAAGGTGGAATGGACAGCCAGGGGTCCAGCATCATCTGAATTTCAACCTCCTTCTACTAGTAGGTTAAGAGGTAGAAATGACCCTGCAGTCACACATGCACATTTGTTTAGGATTTCATTCATCTGTGTTCCCCATGCACATGTTCTCTTTTTATCTTCTGCTTCAGGACTGGATCCAAAGCTAAAATGCTGATGGAAATCCTTTCTTCAACTTCAGAGGACTTAATAATAAATACTCAGAATTTGTTTACCTATAGAAGCCTTTAAGTCATTCCAACAACATAAAGAGGATTGGTCATAACTGGGAATTAGGTTCTTATTTTATCAGCTAAAGCCTTTGGTATAGGTAGGTGATTATAATGTTGTTCCTACTCCCAACTTCACATCCCTTCTTTCACAAACACGAAGACACTTGTATGAAGTATCATCTCTTAGAGGTGGTGCACATTCAGGCTATTTGTACTTCTGCTAGCTATGCTTCCTTCCTAGCTTATCCAACATCCTGTCTCTAGTGATTTTTTTTTGTCATTTTTTTTTTAAACTCTTTTTGAATTATTAATATATTTCTTGTGTCAGAATTGAACTTGGTGGATGAGTCTGTATGCTGTCAAACATTACAAAACGCAGTTATGTAGGTGTGCAGCAGCTCAGGATTTGCTGCAGATATTCTTTCAGTATAACAGTAAAGATGACATTTTATCAATGATCATACATTTTTCGTACAGTGCTGGAGCTCCTGGGTTAGGAGTAGCCAAGACTGTGAAACTCTATAAGCAAAATTCATAGACAGGTATTGCTTGGCATATGTAATTTTCCAGAGAGAAATTTGAATGGCACATTTATATAAACGGAATGAATATTTCAACACTCTGTAAAACTTTTATGAATCCCTTTATTTCTTTTCTGGCTTGCTTCTATCTCATACCTTAATTCTGCACAACCATTTTTATTTTCTGTAACTGCAGGGTACAGGACAAAGATGAAGACTTAGATGTTATCAGCACAAGGAAACAGCCCACAAGTCATTCTGAAGTCTTCTTCATGTCATAGGAGATACAACCACAATCTGACATGAAAATAGTGCTGATGTAGTATTTCACATGAAGCAGCACCTGAACACATTCAGCTACAAAAGTTTCAACCTTCAGTTACAGTTCTATCTGTTGCACGTTTGTTCAGACTAAAATCTTCACGGCAGAGGTCTGGTTATCATTAACAAAAGAAAGCTCTCTGGAAACAGATGAGATGGCTGCTTTGGAATGATGTCATCAAGGGCAGTTGGTTTTGATTTATAGGTTTCAGTTTCCGGGTCCACTGGCAGGGCTGGAAAAAGGTCTCTTGCCCTAGTGTCTATCTGTCCAGACCAGGCTGTTGCAGGTCTGTACTTGAATGATAGTCCACAGTGTCAGAGCATCAAAGTAGGTGGAGATGCAGCATTTTAAAAAAAGATGACTAGAGCTTTTAGATGGACACACAGACCATAAAAAGGACCTTCCTGGAAATCATGTGAATCAGTTCTAAGCCCTGAGTGTTGTGATGAGGCCACTGAGAGTCATGGAGCTGTGTCTCTGTTCAATAGGATCGTGTGAATCAAAAGGTTTAAGACCCTTTGCTCCTTGATTCTGCTTAGATGAATTTAAGAATTCTCTCAAATAGGGTTTTTTTTCCACTTTTTCTCTTACAACTCCTTTTCTGCACCTGGCAGAAGGACATTAGGATCTAATCTAAATGCAGAGATGTTCAAGTAGAGTCATGACAGTGACGTGTGCCACACCACATTGAATTGACTGGTAAAATGCTGTTAATCCCCTGAACTGTCCCCAGCAAAATCCTACCTCTCTCCAGCAGTGTCTCAAGTCACACTTAACTGTTTCAGAAATAAATCCACAGTCACTTGAGAAACAAATACCAGTCTGTACTTGTTTTTGTATTGTATTTCAGTTTCCTCATGTGTAGACTTGTGGTTTTTTTCGTTTGTTTGGGGTTTTTGTTTTGTTTTTGTTCCTGGGAGCAACACTGGTCCTTTTTCTTTACATTCACACTCTTCCATGGTAATCAGTCACACACTTGCAGCAGTACACCAAGATAACTGTGGCTGAAATGCCCCAAGGCAACCATGTTTATAGGCTGCTTCAAAGCCCATGTGACAAAGTGGTGCTGCAGACCGTTAGGGAAGAGGATCATCAACCTATCTTATGAACATGACTATCAAAGAAAACACCCATGCAAAAACAGTTAAAGCAGCAGACGAGTTCTCTGCTGTCTGGAGCTATAAAGTCATTACCCTCAAATAGAAATACTAGCTGCACAATCCGCAGCACTTTCCTCAACAACTAGTTAGGCTGCCTTAAAAACCAAACCAAACCAAACCAAACTATTTCAGAAAACAGTGGTACATTTCCTGAACAAAACCCTACAGAAGGCCTCAAGTAGCTCTGTGCCCTCCAGCAGGGTGGGAGGTTTGGCAGCATCTGACTGCCATGCGCTCGCAAGAAGCAGAAAATAGCTCTGTGGTGGGCTCAGAAAGCTTCACCAGCTGAGCTAGATGGGCCAGCATATCTCCAAGCAGAAGGGCAAGAACAACTACTGAAAAAATACAGAAAAGCTACGCAATTCATGTTACATTTTAACTCATTAAACTTGTGCTGGACCCCTCCCACAGCACTAACAAAAAGTTCTTTGAGAAAATGTGAGTTAAGATGTAGCCACTTACTATAGGAACAGCCGAAGACCTCAACTCTCAGTCCTATCCGCCCACTGACATTCCACTTCAGAGGGATGAAGCGCAAGAAGCGGGCTTTCACGGAGTGCAGAAATTTGTGGTGAACCACACTGTCAGCGTTGCTGTTCCCTGTGAAAACCTGGAAGGACAGAGAGCCTTGGTGAGACATTTAGCACCGGGAGGTGAATGTTGAACTCAGGATTAAGGATGTGAATTGTCACCCCTCCTCCCGATTCTTAAGATACTACTTAAAATTATTTAAATTTATTGTCAAGTTTTCTTCCAAGTGCTGTACCATTTGTGCAGGGAAAGGAGGGAGACAGGAGCACACAGTGCACTTCAGCAGGGTGGGTCAATGTATACAGGTTGTCAAAGGAGATGTTACAGAGATGCTGCATAATTTCTCCAAACTCACAATATTCCTGTGCAGCACAACACTCCATCAGCCCCTAACACACCCACAATCCGTATGGATGGGGACCAGTTTAGCCTTTGGTGCATTCAGGGTGGAAGAAACAGTTGGTCACAAAGCACTGAGGTTGGCCAGAGTCTGGGAAGATGAACAGGAAAGCCTACATCTAGATACAATACAGAAAACTCCAGCGAGACACAGGAAGAGATTAAAGCCCGAGTCAGTGCACAGGAGAGTCAGCATTTCAACTGTGTTTGCACCCAAGAGAGTTAAAGCTTGCAAAAAATAATAATTTAACTTTTTTCTTGCCTACTTGATTAATTGTCTGCAACTGCAAGCCAAAATTAATGGCCCTACTCAGAATTATCACCCAACAAGAGGAAATTCTCTCATGGATGAAGAATGACTGCAGGATTTCAAAGACGAACCTTAAGACAAGCATCCATGCTCTGATCCCACCTGAAGATTTCTCAACTCATCTTTACACCCTTACTCTGTAATATTGGGCTAGGAATATTATAGACTTCCTGCAACCTTCAGAATATTTGAGTAACTCAGGATTTAAATTTGAAGCTAACAGTTCTGTAAAGCATGAAAACCAAAAACAGAACCCACAAAACAATAATCTCACAGGAAGGCCGTATTTGTAAAAGGTCCTTTGCTTTCCTTGCCCATCAGATATGTTTTGAGGAGTGCCACAAGTAGCATTTCAAGATGTCCTGGGTTGACGCATACTGCTTTCCAAATAGGAGCCAAATTCAAATTCCAGCAAAGAGTATTTCAGAGTTTTTTTTCCTTATATTTAAGTGAAAAATCTTGTTCTTCTCAGCAATGAAACTGTCAGCTGAGAGTAAATCTCACAGTCAGAGCTGTGGAAGCAGTCACATTTTTATTAATACACTCACAGATGTGCAAGATGTACAAAGGGGAGTGTTGTTTTTCTGTTTGCTTGCTTAGAAAGCTCATCTTCTTGGAATACTGTGATTATGTAAAAATCTCACCTTTCATAAGGTAGAAAAAAAAAATAAGGAAAAAAGAAAAAGAACAGAGGGGGAGCAAAGAGTTTCCAGTCCTCCCAATTGTGAAGAAAAGCTTAAAATACAGTGACTAGAATGCAAGCAAAATGCAAAAATTAAGAGACAAAAGAAAAAGTACACCTTAATATAGCAATACTGTGAAACAAGGGTCTGTGTTGTGGGGTTTGTTTTTTTTTTTTCCATAATCCTCTCATACACAAGGTTGTCAGTACTGCATATTGCATTGCATTGCAGGCCCACAAGGTAATAATTTTTATTTGCTTTATACAAAAGAGTAAACAGTTGAGGAGAAAGACGAAGTTGAAAAGCACAGCACCTCTAGAAATACCTCCTTGCAATTACAAAGTAAGGGGAACTAGGTGATTTGAGAACACAACTGTGTGCTAAACAGCCCCGCATTCTTTTTTTTTGGAAACCAGGTAGGACCGCAGCCTGCACCGGCACGCTGTGATCAGCCGACTCTTGCGGCTGCTGGAAAAATCACAGAGGCAGCTCACGACTACCTGTAACTGTTGCTAAGGGCAGTCTTGACACCTCTCTTGCAGGGCAAACCTGTAAAGACATTTTTTTTGCAAAGCTTGTGCAAATCGCACGCTCAAGCATAACAAACGGGAACATCACCGCTGCTGGCACAGAGAGAGGCAGTCCTCTGCCTCCAGGCAGGTGGTGCATATGGCACGCTCCAGGGACTGCCCCTGCAGTCAGAGGAGCTTGGTGGTCTCACTATCTGAGACAGATGTACCTGCCGTCTACAAGCAGACGCAGGTGCCCACCCGCAGGTGTCTACACTAGACACGTTACTTCACAACACCTCAAGGAAGAGCCAGAATTACCAACACCTAGCCTTCAAATCAGTTGTCTCCAAACCTGATTTGCAACTACATAAATGTCCTTCCCACAGTGAAACAGTCATGTCAGTAAAAATAAACTCTTCAAAAACCCAATACATCCCTTACAGCAGTGTTTCTCAAGCTTCTCTAATAACCAAAAAACCCAGATAAACCTTTTCGGGGAAAAAAATCCACAGGCAATGCTGTACCCTTCAACCTGCGCCTATGAGATAGTTCTGCATGCAACCAGCACATCACTGCTTGCTGCTAACTGAAGGGCATCGCTATGTATGCCTTTAGGGTTGCTTTGCTTTTCACTTCCAACTCCCACTGCTATACATATCACCTTCTGATGTTTTATGGACCACCTGTGGGCTGTAGGCCATTGATTGAATAACACCAATTGCCACAGATGGTCCCTTGAAAACTCAGATCCACAGCTGACACAGAAATAATCTATCCATTAAAGAAGATGAAACAAGGATGCAGTACCAGATTTCTTATCCCTGGAGGTTCAAATATTAACAGTAGACTTATCGGTGAGAATGGCAGAAATACATCCTCTTGAGAAACGGCCTCTATTACAACTTGTTGTTGATAGGGATTAAGTCACAGGAACAAAACGACAAGCTAGTGAAGAAGAAAAAGCACCTGCGCACCATGTCCCATACAACAGAGTTGCTCTGGGAGGGAGTGTAACATTCAAATCTGTGGTTTCTTACAAGCCCTGTAAACACAACGGACTGATGATTTACTTGGAAAATTCTGCTTCTGGCATTCTATGTGGCTTATAAATCAAAAAGCTCCATTAGCACCAAATATTGCCACCAGCTTCTCAAAGGCAAAAAGCTTTTTCCTAGTGCTCGCAGCTGTAAGGTTAACAGCTTGCCACGGGCAGAACTGCCTCTCAGACCAAGCTTGCTGCACGATGCCTGGCTGAGTGGTACCCCGCTGTGCCACAGACCATGGCACTACACTAATATTTTATGAGGCTTTTTTTATGAGCCAGCAAAGGCAGGTCCCACTGGCATGAAGAGGTGAGGTAAGAACAGATGCAGCGGTTTGGAGCAGGGTCCTAGCAGCCCAGTGCTGCCCCTTCGGCAGTGGCTGTCAGCATGTAGTGATGAGTGAGAATGAGATAAGCATATACAACACTTTTCCCAATGCTCAACCCACCTGGTTCATGGGTTATACTGAAGTGGAACAAAATAGGATTCTAGATCTAGTTTAGAGAAAAAATAAAACTTTAAAAAGAAGTTTAAATCTCAAAACTGCTGACATTCCTTGGAATTTGGATGTATGACTCCCTTAGGAAAAACAACAATTTGAATGAATGGGCTATTTATACAGCTTTCCCATTCAGAGGCATCCCAAAAGCTTTTTAAGGGCAGTTCAGGAAAATGTCATGCAACTGTGGTGAAATATGACAGTTGTTTAATAACCCTGCAGTCACACATTTGTTTCTCTACCTCGTGTATTAATTCAGATCTATGTCAGATCATACCAGTGAGATCTGATGTTCTAAACTTTACATCAGCCTTTGACCAAACTCTTAGACTAGTCTCCACCTTTAGACAGACAAGTGGAAGTTAAGTGCAAGAAAAATGCCCATGAAAGCCTAATCAATTCAAAAGATAGGATCAGATGTGGGACTTTATCTCAGTCTCCTCTGCATGCCCGCTCTGCACGGCAAATGGCAGAGCTGCAGAAGGTGGTTCTCATAATGACTCTGCTGAATACATTTTGCTCTCCCACTTTGTTAGGCAGGTAATGGAATGGGTTCAAAATGAGTATGCAAGCAGCAACATAGGCACAATCTGCCCTGAATGGTGAGCAGGCAGACCCGAGGTTAACTACCTTCTAGGGGAGGTATTTTAAGACATATTGAATACTCTAATTTCTGCCAAAGTCACTCTGATGAACTGAGCTGAGGGGTAAAGAAAAAAAAAAAACCAACACAACAACAAAACCCAACAAATAACCCAAACAGATTACAAATGTGCAGAGGGTACATAACACGGATGTTAGCAATTTACATTTCAACCTTCCCTGAGAGAAATACAAGCAAAGAAAAGAGCACTCCACCTTCAAATCTCACCCATGACATCGCAGTATGCTGCCTACAGTGCCTAAAGAAATAAGGACAGGAGCACACTTAATTCAAGCTGTCCAGCAGCTTAGCAAAGGAACCAAAGTGAGCTAAGCCTGTCATAAATCCCAAAACTGCAATACTTAGATTAAGTATTCTTACTTACTTCCTTACTAGGATGAGAAAGATCAGAAGCTAGGAGTTAGCACTGTGACACAGAGCATGCTTCCTAGTGTATGCCTTCCAGGACTTCCTCAAGTATTTGCGTGCACATGCACTTCAAACAAAACATGAATTTCGAACTAAGACACAACATGAAAATCTGAAACAGGAAGGAGGAAGCATTGCCTAGCTTTTCACATTTTCTAGGATGAAACAAACAGACTTGAGGACTGCTTTTACCTTCTCCAGAGGCAATAGGATTTTAGTTCTTCTCAAATTTGCATTACTGGGGATGTAACTCAGTGGGACTATGACTGAAACCGAAACACAGTAAGGGTCCTTCGTCTCTGTTTGTATGTGTGGAAAGAGACCGAATGTTACCATGACAAGGACACAATACAGCCACAAATGCACCATATGGAAACTCAGCAGCCTCTGATTTTAATGGCATACTACAGGGTTTTTTCACATAACAATTATACCATATTAGTGCCTGCTAGCAACACCTTGGGTCTGGACAGGTTTGTGGTGACTTTTTGTAACAATGAAATTTAAAAATCTATTTAGTTTCTGCTGGGAAATGAAAGCAACTGTCAGTTCAGGCAATTC